TATATATATATATATATATATATGTATATTTGCAAAGAGCAAGTCTACAAATCACAGGAAACAAGACTGATTTGTTCTGGAGATCAGCTGTTGAAAAGAGGCAAGTGTTGAACACAAACATGAAAGGGAGTGAAATAGTGTTAATAACCAACATCCTGTAACATTTGCTAGCAGACCACATTATTCCATGACTCCGTAGTGTTACCTGAAGAAAAATCACATTTTAGCCAATCGTTCCATAAGTCTAACAATCAGTGAAAGGAGTGTGTGAAGCATGTAGGATCCAGGTAGTCCAGCCTGCCCAGCTGGAGTCTGCAGTTGTTGGAGGTTGCAGCAAAGCTAGCCAGATCTTTCGCAGACTGATTCTGTTCAAGCGATGGTGGAACCTTCTTGGCTGATTCCGCAAACAAAGCTGTGTTCTCAGCTCGTGAATCTGGCACTAACACCAGGATGTTGTCATCCATAACCCCAGACACCTTGGTATATTCCTTACTGGTTTCTGGAACCCCAGGCTTCTCCACCTGGTCATTTTCTTTCTGTTTGGGGAACAATGATAATACTCCATCTTTGTTGACTTTGTGAATCTCCACATAATCTGGGGGTTTAGCGTAGACAATGGGGGCATTTTTCTGAAGCAGGGGCCATGATGTGTTTTGTTTAGTCTCAGAATGGAAGCTTTTCTTTTTCTCTTGCTCAGCCACCTTTTCCTCTTCAGTCTCAAGAGTTTTAGAAAATTTTAGAACATTTTTTCCTGCTTTGTCCAGGAAAGAGGCGAGCGTATCTACAGGACCTCCGGCTAGCTTGCACACATCAGCAATGCTGTGATAAGGAGATCTGGTCATGTGCTGGCTAGGCAGCAAAGGCCACGTTGACCATTTGGATACATCTGCATGAAAATAGGGGGTGCTGCTTCGGGCATCCTGGGTGGGAGGAATATTTGCTTCTGGATTCTCTGGCTTCTCAAGGATCTCAGGAATGTGGAAAGCAGGGGGGTAGACCTGGGGCTCCTCACACTTTTCAGACAAAAGAGAATGGCTGTCATAGCTTCCATGACCAGAGTCATTGTCCGGATCTAGGTGTGTGGGTTTCACACCTTGCCCTGGGTACTCTTTGGAATGGGATGGCATTAGCTGCACGTCCTCATTGTCATCCACTTCTAAAAACTCCACCAGCAAGTCCTCAGAGTCAGAAGTGGGGGGGAAGTCTTGGCATCCTAAGGCAGTCAGGAGTTCTTCAGACTTGCCCTTCTATTGAAACACAGACACAAGGAGAGATGGCTGTTAGCTTCAGCACATGCCACACTTGGCATCACAGCTGAGCGGTATCTGAGCAGAGTAAAGGGGCTTTGTTCCTGGGGCAGCAGCCATGCTGTATCTTGCTTAGTCTTGGAATGGAAGCTCTCCACCTCCTACTGCTCAGCAGAAGGCTCTGTGAGCAGTCTCAAGTATCCCAACCCTCCCCACAGACAGCAGACATATGAGTGTCAGGTCATGCATAAGCACATTCTGAGGACTATTCACCAAATACTTTTCTTTGTCTTCCATAATTTTTTTGTCTCTAATAGAGGTTATGAACTTAATGGGAAAGTCTATGCTACTCAATGTATGATAAATATAATTGAAATAAAAATGTCTTGTGAAACATGTGAAGTTTGTGTGTATACCTGACACTGGTGCTCACTGGCAGAGTAAGTTCTGAGACCTGGTGGCTGGCCTCTCAGCCTCCTCCACCGCCTTCTGGAGTGTGGTGACAGTGAATTGGTTCTTGTCTCTGGCTTCTCCTACCACTCCTTTTCCTTCTTATGTTCCTCCTCTTTCTACTTTCCCCCTCTCCTCTCCTCTCCTCTCCTCTCCTCTCCTCTCCTCTCCTCTTGGATCCCAATTTTCTATTCTTTATTTCTTTCATCTCCTTCCTCATCTCTCTTCCTCCTATTCCACATCGTCTCTCTCTACTCCTATTTCTCTCTTTCCTCTTCCCTTCTTTTTTGACTTCCTCTCTTCTCCCCAGTTCTCTGACTTAGGTCATGGGTTATTCCTTATCAGATAGATATGACTATGGATCGGTGGCTCTTCTTTCTGGACCAGAGCTTGTCCAGTTTTTAAGGGGAGTAATAGCACTTATCTGCAAGGATTCTTTGAAGATCAGAGATAATGCAAGAAAGAAGATAAAAAGTGTAACCCTAAAGCGGCCATTTATCATTAGGTCTCTGTGGCTAGCAGGTTGAGCTGTGAGATAGACACTAGGTAACTTGCTTGGCTGAGAGATTCCTGTTGGTTTTATAAAGGTCAATAAAGGTCACTAGATTGAATAGTGAGTAAGACCCCTGGACCAGAAGCCCAAACTCCTTAGCTCTAGTCCTTGCTGTAATAGCTACAATCAAAGTGATTTTGAAAGACAAGTCAAATTCATTTTTTTTTAACATTCTTATAAGCTTAGATTCATGGCAATCACACCAACTGACATTTACTTTTATATACAGGTGATGGCTTTTTTATACATCACTGTTAAAGTTAGAATGAAACTATACATTTCAACCTAGAGAGAAATGCTTTAATTCTGTCTCAAACCAGTCTAGTGTGCTTTGGAAAACACCAGCCCATAGGATACTGATCCACTGACTGTTCAAATGGAGCATGGGGACAATGGAAAATCCTCCCACAGTGGCTTAGGTAAAGAATATTCAAGTAGGAGCTTGGCTCATGTGTAAGGGAGATGGTGGTAGTGAGTTAAAATATTTGCTCTCTTTCTAAATTCATTATTTGAACAAGATGGTCATCTGTGTCTTCAGGAGCAGCCCTGGGCAATGTAACAGCCTCACCATGAGTTTGGGTGTTTCTGGGCTTTCTCCCTTTGCTTTCTGACTTTTAGAATATGATGATTAACACACTCATCCCCCAAAACTTTCTTCTGGAAGGGGATGATCAAGAGGGCCAGGATGGATTCATGAGGATTGAGTGGGCACGTGCAAACTTAATTATCACCAAGCAGTGAGTCACATCATATTCTCTGCTTTGGGCACTTACCTCCAGCAGATGAGTATCAAATCCTTTTATTTTTGGTCCGGGAACTGGTGGAAAGATGCAGGTCATCATGCTATAAAATAATTTGTGAGAGTGGATAAATGACTCATAGTTCTTTGTAATATTTGAAAGAGATCCCACCCCCAATTCTTAAAGAGGTGGTGCACAGGCTATAAGAGGTGGAATTCTATGGCTGTATTAAAGTAGAAGTAAATGTCAGAGGCAATTGTAGAGACATACACTACACCTTCACTGACTAATTTTGAATGCTAATTTCAAGCTACTGGATTATTTGTTCCATTTGGTTCTTTCAATGTTAGCTGCTTTTGCCAGATTTCCACAATTTTATAGCTCTAAGTCCCTATTTTATGGAAAGAGCACTGGATTCAATAATTACATTTTAATACTCTTTAAAAAGAAGCACTGACAAAAGATTACTTTTTTGTATGAGAAAAAGCACTAGCACTAGTTGATAAAGGTGCTTAGGCTTATTTCCATCATGTTTATATTTTGGGTTTTTTTGTCATTATTCCCAATAACAATGACCAAGAGAAGAGCTGAAAGATAGTGTAGTACCTATAGCCCTTCAGAGCTACTGCCCAGACCATAATCAAACAGATGACAGCAGAGAGAACAGCCACAATGATCCACATGGTTGTATTTTTCAAGGTGAAGTCTAAAAAACAAACAGCCAGAGAGCTTTGATTACATATAATATCACCATTAAAAACCAACTAACCAACCAATATAACACGTGAAACTTTTGGACTCCGTATGTTTTCTTTCTACTTTTATTTCTTGACTTGAAAAGCAACCCATCAGTAGTAGGTAGGTGTAATGATACAGAATGAATGACCAAAGAGTCCTTGGAGGACATTATAGACTTATACCTCTAACTTTATTCTAGAACTCTTCCAAATGTCTTTTTGTTAGATTAAGAGATGATAATCACATCTCTACCAACTTTTCTAGATAAGCCTCAAAATAGTTTCTATATTAATAGTTATTACATACAACTTTATTGTTAATAACATTTATAAATGTAGGAAAATTAGGTCAAAACACTCACCATTGGGTATTTCAATGGAATTCTCTTGGCCCCATCTACTCCAGTATCCATGGTCTGGCTTGCAGCGAGTCTGGACAATGTATTTTTGTCCTGGATATAAGTCAAAAACTTTAAAGTGTGTTTGCTGCCCTGTAAAATGGACCTAAGGAAGAACAAGGAAAACAGAAGTCACCTCTGACTCTTGTTATGTGCAAAGAGACTTATTCTTTATATCCTAAGTTATGGACGAGTTAGGTAGACATAGCTGTGCTTAGAGGATGGCTTTCATTATTCTATCCTTCTTTCTTCCTCTTCAAATTCTCTCACAAAAATTTAAAAGGTTTTCCATGTCTTCATTTGGAATTCTATTTCAGAAAGACAATTCCCACCAACTCTCCATTTTCCGTAGTGAAAGACAGAATTCTTGCTAACAAATTAATATATACATATGAGACAATAAAATTATTAGTTTACAAATTCCAGTGAAGTAATTGATTTAAGGGATTATTAGATGGTGTACAAACTATTAGGTGGAAGACATCTAAGTCTTTTGTATGTTGAAGTGATTGTACACAAATAATGGAGACATTAGGGTTTTACATCGCTAATCTAGGATTCAGATTTAGTATCATTTATACTAGTGCAACCAGATGGCTCATGCCTCCCGGGGACGATGACGATGATGATGATGAATATAGTATGAAGGTCATACTAATTACTTGTAGAAATTATTTGAGTTACATGTCATTCAACCTGAATCTAATCAAGTCCTTAACTCTAAAGTCTGGTTGTAGATACTACAGGGGCAGAGATATTAGCTAAGTGAAGATTGTGGGATATCCTTATGAACAAGTAGCCTCCTCTTTTCACTACATTAAAACTATTTTGGATTAGACTTTGGTTTGGACAAGCCAGATGTTAAAGATACTTTTGAAGCAATGGAGACAGGGAGGATTAAAATATAAACTAATTTCTATATTTTACCTAGGGATTCTAATTACCTTTTTAAAAATGTGTGTGATCCTATTACTTTGACTATGTTTGCAAATGTCCTGTTTTCAACAGAGACATATATTAAGATATTTAAGGGTAGAATATCATAATGCCTATAATTGTGGTATTATCATTTTACACTGAAGTAATAGAAAGTATTTCTTTATAAACATTGACCATGGACATATAAAAACTGACTCTTTTTCCTCCAGCCTCAGTAGAGTTTATGTTCTTCCAGAGGTCAGAGATATACTTTGGAAGGCAAATTGGGAACCTAAGGGGGAACATGTCCAGTACAAGGAGCTGTCTTTGTGGGAATTGTGATTATGAACATCCTTCAATTTCAGTAGAAGGGAGAAGGCATTTCCTTAGCTAGGAGAGCTATGTCTGCAAGGGGATGTCCACACAGTGGGCAACTAATTGGGGAAATGATCTACTCTGTTGTAAGAGGTTTATCCTTGCCAAAGGATAAGGTTCCTCCAATAAACTTCTGTTTGACTCACCTCCCACTCATCTGCTTCTTCAGACTTCAATCGAATTTCATATTCCATTGTAAACCAACCAGTTTTTACATCAGTTATGGTGGGTGGGGACCATTTTATCCACAGATATGTCTTTTTGTCTTTTAGCTGTTTCACTTCTAGAGTCAGGTTCCGAGGAGGCTCTGGTTCAACTGTAGATATAAAAAGATATTTTTAGTTTCCCTCATAGCTGGGACCTTCTTTTTGGCCCTACTGTTTCCTACCATGGCTTGAATTTTCTATTAGCCCACTTTCCCCACTGCATTGTAAGTTCCCAGAAGACACGGCAAATACCTTCTTACTCTTAATATGTGATCAATCATGTTTGTACTTGATGATGGGCCTTCAATAATAACAAAAATAAGCATCTGAGGTTTTGTGTTGGCTGTATTCTCCACTTTCTACCAGCCAGGTTCATATACATATCCACATTTTCCCCCTACTGGCAATAGCCATGTGATAATAACTGGGATGGGAGTTTTAAGTTGAAGTTGGAACAGGAGATTATTGGGAAAGGAATTTGAAATAGTTTGTTTCCCTTAGTTGGTAACAACCATCTCCTTGAAATTCTGCACATCTTTTTGTGTATCACCCATTCATATTTACAACTTTGCAGGTAACATATTTACAGACTTTTGCCTTCAGTTCATCAACTATATTCTCAGCTCAAAATATACATCATTCCTTGTGGAGAGCAGAATTCACCTTACCAGATAGCAAATGGTTAACACTTGATTTTTTTGACAGTGTTCTCTTGAGTAACCCTCAAACAGCTTATTGTTTCATTCATTCATTCACCAAATGTTTACTGAATTCCCACTAGCAAAATCTTAACATTTCTTGAATGCATACCACATGCCATTAATTAGAATAATACTCTAACAACAAATCATCATTTAACCTCTCTTCAAATATCATGAACCTGTATTATTATTGAGCCTCTTTGATAGAAAAGAAACCAAAAGAGGGACAATTACTGTTCTAATGTCACATATTCAGTAAAGGGTGTTATTTGGAACCCAGAAACAGCTTTTATTTTGAAACAATTTTAAATAGCACTTCTCCCTAATAGACTGCAGCTAAACTTAACTTATGTGTATGTTACATTCTGAATTAACAAATGCCCTGAACTACACAGATTAATATGACTTTAAATGATGATTCTTGTTATATGTATTTTACTACAATTAAAAAATAATCAAAGGAGTAGCTGGGAAATCCGCATGGGACTGATCCAGACCCGATGAACATGGGTGTCAGTGAGGAGACCTTGGAAATCCATGGGGCCTCTAATGGTAGATCAATACTTATCCCTAGCATAGGTATGGACTTTGGGAGCCCATTCCACATAGAGGGATACTCTCTGAGCCAAGATAAGTGGGGGTGGGCCCATGCCCTATCCCAAAGGATATGACAGACTCTGAAGACCCCCTACAGAAGGCCTCACCCTCCCTGGGGAGCAGAAAGGGTATGTGATAGGTAGGGTTTTAGTTGGGGGGTGGCAGGGGAGGAGAGGAGGGAGAGGAAACTCGGATTGACATGTAAAATAATCTTGTTTCTAATTCAAATAAAAAATGGAAAAACAATAATCAAAGGAGGCACTTATTCTCAGATTCCTCCAACTACGGGCCATGGAACTACTTCCCTAAGATGTAGGAATACCTAGTGGTTGTGTTGCTCGGCTGTAGATGCAACATCTGGATCATCTCCCTTTCCCCAGGGCTCTTGAAACATCATGGAAGAGGAGCCAGAAAGAATGTAATAGCTGGAAGGTGGGGAAGTGTGATGTGAAATACTGTCTTTTGTAAGACATGGTTGCAGCACATGTGAATTCATAGCTGCTGTGGCTACCTGTGAAGGATCTGCATGAGTTCAAATCAGTTAAAACCTCTAGCATTGAGGAGGAGGAGAGGCTCCTGAGGGCTCATCTTCAGGCAAAGACAACTGGCAGTTGGTGGAGGCTGGTGGAGGGAAAAGTCACTTTTCTTTGGGGTGTGGCTATGACAGGTTGCCCATGCCTCACTGGATGACCCCATATTGCCAGCACTAATTGGACTCGGTGTGTCATTAAAGACAAAACAGCAAAACAAACAAAACGAGGACATGAAGTTGGGTGGGAGATGTGTGACTACTGCAGGGGCTCAGCCTGCTTTCTGTTGTTGAGCAGTATTAGCTAAGCTGGGAAGACTTGATTAATTTTAAACCTTATTAGCTACTTCATAAATTGTTATCTAAGATAAATAATAGACTTCATCCTCCTCATCCTATCTGTTCTCCTAGGAGTCTATTTATTGTCTGTACTAAATCACAAAGGCCATTGCAGCTGTGTCCAATGCCCCACTACATAATGCTCAGCATGCAAAGCAAGGAACTCTTTCCCATCTACGGCTCTATTTTATGAGTGCCTTGTCCAAACAATATAGAAGTGACAGTAACCTCCAGCCAGTTACTACTTACTTCCTATTGTTATTTTATTGTATTTTGGGGATACTTACACCGAGTGCTAGTATTCAGGCATCTGTACTGGTCTGCCCTTGGGGTTCTGACAAAATATGCCCTCAGCTGCAACCACTAAGAACATTTTCCATGTACATTCACTATGTTCCCTTTTAAAAGGGCCCTGCTCACCTCCCATCTCTCTCTTTGTCTGTCTGTTCCTCTCTCTCTTTCTCTCTCTCTCTGCTTCTCCACCTGTCTCTCTGTCTCTCCCGGCTCTCTCTTCTCTTCAGCTGCTCCTGTCCCCAGAGGCTGTCCTACAGCTTTTCCTCCCCCCTTTTTCCATTCTCTTTCTCCCAATAAAAAATTCCTCCACATGAGCTTCATTGCATGGCATCTTTCTCTCTTGTGCCACTTTTTAAGTTAGAATGCCTAGGGCTTTTTAAAATTTAAACCAGGCAGCATCCTACCATTAAACTATATCTCCATCACCCCCACCAGTCTTTGTCTAATAATATCTCAAATTATGATGAAGTAGATATAATATTGTGGAGAGCTGAGTTCAGTCCAAATATTTGGAATGATTCCTTTAGAATAAGAACAGGAAGATCCTTTTAAAGACCTGTATTTCTGAAGAGTATCCCTGTTTTCCACAAGGAGAAAGAAAAGACATTTGGAGTTGTTGGTATAGCTCAGTGGGAGAGTGATTGCCTTCATGTCCATCTCTGGGTTTCATCTCCAGCACACTCCCACCAGAAGAAAAGGAATTTGAGTTGTCTGGTAATGAAGGCAACATGGCTGCAGGGAGAGGGCAGAGGAACTACTAATAAAGGAGGCATACCAATCACTCACACGGGATATAAGACACCATGATTAGAGTTGAAGAAAAATATGAGAACATGAAGATCCCAAGTATTAATCTTGCCGTCAAGAGTCAACGCTGTTGATGTGAAATGCTCCCCCAACAAAGATGCTGTGAGTTCTCTCACCTTTCTTATCTGGGATCCATCCATAAGCCAGGAAGACCAAAACTGAATTTGTCCTTCGATAACTACCTACTAAAACATAAGAGTACCAATTCCTCACTCACTTCCCTTTCCCTTACCTATGTAAGTCACATCCACATAAAGTGGATCTGATGCACTGCTTCCCATCTGGTTAGTGGCGATTACTGTGATGACGTATATTTTCCATATGGAAGTGTACTGCTTGCTGAAGAAACAGGAGTTGGGGCCACTGGTTTCGTAGTCTGGACATTCATGGGTGGTTTTCTCTCTGCAACAAGTAATGCGTTAAGAGTGACTAAGAAACCAAGAGTCTTGTTTGTCTTTTTAATAGATTAATATTACTGGATTTGGGGGATAAGGTGCTCCAAGTACAAGAATGAAAGCAGAAAAACGGGTCCCTGTGGCTCTGTGCTCTCCCCAGTCCAGCGGGGAGCCTGGGAAAGAAGTATACTAGAAGAAGGGGTGGAAAGATTAGTTTAGCATCTCAATTCTCTGCTGCACACTAACCTTTCTTTCCTGTAGGTGTTTCCACGAACCTTGTGGTTTGTCCTCCTGAGTTACCCCAGTGGCCAAGGCACACTAATACCAATGGCACCACCATTGGGTGACCTTAGGCACACTGATGTCAGTATAATTTAGATGGTTGTCAAGTGAAAACAGAGTCAAGTACCCCTGAAAGGTGATATTTCAGCCCCACATGGCTCATTAAGTCGCTCATATTTTAACAGCCTCAACTCCATTCACACCAGACAGTTGGTGGAGGCTGTTTCAATTCTGCATTCTTTAAATATTTGTGCCATGCCTCTTTGGATCCCATATGGGATGTCAGCTTTGTGTACAAGCAGTCTTTGCAAAGTGGCACGGCTGTCTCCATCAGTAACACATATTTAATTTTTAGGTCCAAGATACTTTTTGCTAAACTAAATTTCTATATCTCATTTTAAGATTTCTAGGAGAGTGTCATTGTGATTTTATCAAAATTATCATCTAGAGATAATCTTGGTTTGCCCTCATGGCAATGTTACATTTAACTATGCCTCAGGAGATATTGAATTTTATTCCTTTGCTGTGTTTGAAATAGGGGTTCTCCATGCACCTCAGGATAGCTATGAACTTGAGATCTTCCAGCCTCAGCCTCCAGAATGCTGGGATTACAGATGTGTTCTAGAACAGCAATTTGCTTTAAAAAAAATCCTCAAGTTCTTTTCCTAAAGTTTATTTTCTTGGGCATGAAACACATTTGAAAACCTAATGTACTGTGACTCTCAAGGATCATGCAGTTTATATAATTCTGCTATGTTGTAACAGTCGTGTATTAACTAAAAAAACAAAAACTTCAAATGTCATGTGGTTTTTGGATGAGCAGCTAAGAATAGCCATCTCATAGGAAATGGTGACTTGGGCTGTTATCTAAGTTTTTTTTTCAGACATTTAGAAACTTGGCTAATATTATAATGACACTGAGTCAATGTGCATTTGTAGACTGGGTTTGTAAAACCTTTTACAGAACAAGATGGGCTAGAGAGACATTAGAATCCTTTCCTGATGGTATGAGCCTTATTGATATAAATCCAGGAAAGCATAGTATGTATAATAAGTAATGTACCTTGGGTGTGAAGAGTGTGAGCACTCTGGTGGGGTTTGGTAGGACAGAAGAGAGCTTTTTACCCTTCTTTGCTGTAAGTCAGTGAGTAATTGGTAGGAAGTCCTCCATCTGTACCAGGATTCCACCAGCAGGTGAATGTTTCCTTGTCAGGAGAGCGACATTTGTAAATCTCAGGTTTTCCAGGTGGTGATTGTCCTAAAACAAAAATAGCCATGAGGCATTAGAGTGAACACTGAGGTCCCTTCAACTGCTTCAATGAGCTGTTAGTAACAGAGGCAGATTATTGGCACTCTGGCCAGTGAGGAGGCCTTGGTTCAGAAAGACCACTGCATCAGCATCCAACTACACTCTGCTGGGAGGGCACTTAGATGATGCTGGATGGTGGTGTATGCTTGCATTTTGAGATGGAGACGACCATTGCCAAAATTTTAATGAAGAGAGAGGCTGAGGGGAGAAAGATGCATGCACATGGAGACTGTGTAGCTAGTCCTTCTTCCCACAGAGTCTAGAAAACATTGGGGTTACCATCAAAAGAATTCTTCTCCACTGACAAGTAACCTGTGTGTACACAGTCATTGCATTGCTTGGTGGCATGTCTCATCTCTGCTCAGGAACCTGTACTTTTCTGGCATTCCCACAGCACTAACTCTACCTCCATCTTTATCTGCATCACTTATGGCCCTTTATCGGGGTGTCCCTGTGTTACTTCCTGCCTTCTTTGTCTTTTTCTTTTTTTGCTTTGTCCTTTACCTTGATTCTGTTCAGCCTTGGCCTAGGGCCTGGTGATGTAGTTTTTTTCTTTTTTTTTTTTCCAAGACAGGGTTTCTCTGTGGCTTTGGAGGCTGTCCTGGAACTAGCTCTTGTAGACCAGGCTAGTCTTGAACTCACAGAGATCTGCCTGCCTCTGCTTCCTGAGTGCTGGTATTAAAGGCGTACGCCACCACCGCCTGGCTTGTGATGTAGTTTTTAAAAGATATATTTTTATTAATTCTTTGAAACTTCTATGCATACATACAATATATTTTAAATATATCCATTCCCCCTTTCTCCCTAGCTCTTTCTAGATCTACCTTTAGCCCTTATCACTATAAATTCTCTCTCTCTTTCTATAGCACACACACACACACACACACACACACCACACATGGACACACACAACGTCTATGCACATGAGAGAGACAGACAGAGAGTCTGATCTGTACTTTTTATAAACTTATGAGTGTTAGGCTACCCACTGCAGTCTTGCTGACATACCAGAGCCTGTACACTTAAGGAAAATTGATCCCTAAGATCCCCCAGAAGCTGTCAACAATGCTTCAGTTGGGGATGGGGACTCAGGAGCCCTGCCCTTCTCAAAGTTGGACTGTTGATTGGCTTGACCTTGTGCCATCTGCACACAACCTCAGCTACTGTGAAATTATGAGTATAGTGGTCCTGCCATGTCCAGAAGTCACTGTTTCACTCCAGTCTTCCTCAACTTATGCCTTTCAGTCTTTCCATCCCCTTTCCCAAAATGGCCCCTGAGCTGTGTGTGTGTGTGTGTGTGTGTGTGTGTGTGTGTGTGTGTGTGTGTGTGGGGGGGGCCCTCTTTGGTTCTTTTTATGAGTAGGTGACCCAAGACTTCCTCATAGTTCTGTGGATCTTTACGAAGCAGTCAGTATGGTAAGAGGTAGGATAGTGGGTATTTCCACTCTGAGTGGAGAGCTACCATGGTTAGATAAGAGATATTCCCACTGTCAGTGCAAGAAGTGAGAAGGTCTAAGGGAGGTGATGTGGCCAAGGGTATGAGTTTTTTTTCACTAGCTTAATTTCCAAAGCTTTTGGCAAGCTGATCTCCAATTTTCTTGCTTGGCTATTATGTTGAAAGAGGGACAGAATAACCTTGGGATTTTGCCATGATGCTGTTGATTTGGGAGGCCAACCATAACTGAGAGTATATCTCATTTTCCTATTTTTTTCCTGTTTGAGAATCCAATGCTAAATTCATGAGTAGAAATATTTTTTTCTTTCAGAGGTCAGTGTTAGCATCTTGGGGGTCTTTTATATCTTTCCCCAATTAACTCAATCTTTCATGCAGGCTCTCAGGATGGAATTTTAGTTCAGAAGAACAGATCACAAAGATCATGGCAAAGGGATCATGGCTGAGAAGAGGTCTATACATAATCTAACCAGAAGGAAGAATTTATTGGAGATCTAGTATGATGCACCAGATGGGGTCATGGGAAGAAGGCTGGCCAGTCAGTGGTAACAGAGTGTCACAGTATCTCACAGATTTGCTGAAAAGAATCTGTGTGAACCTTGTGTGTATCTACCAACATGTGGAGGATTGTTTAGTTAAGTTCAGAGTCATTGAAAAATACAAGGTTTCTTTTTCTTGTTTGTTTCTGTCATGGGTGAGGAGAAACATTCCATGTAGAGAGAAATAATTCATTAAAACCCTCCAAACTAGCAGGATTTGGTCGTGCACATCTTTAATCCCAGCTCTCAGAATCAGAAGCAGGCGGACTTCTCAGTATGAGGCCAGCCTACTCTACATAGCGAGTTCTAGGACAGTACTTAAGAGTTTCTTTCACAGGGTATCATGATTTTTCTCTCTTCTTTCTTTCTTCCCCTAACTCTGGCTATTAAAATAGCACTTTTAGGAAACTCCAGGGGAAAAGGTAAGGCTGTAGAAATACAATCAGTCAAATGTTATTTTCATGCCCCTTGAGGAAACGAACTTTATGGACTATCTCAGTGAACAGAAAGAGGGGATGTTATATAATTCCAAGAAATGCAGACACTTGCCTACAGATTCCACATCAGGAGTAAGTACACACATAATGAATTCATTACACCCATATAAAATATATTCAGAGAGAAATACACACAAAGGCATAATGATGGCAATATACACTGGTGCACATACACACAACAGTATACACACATATAAATACACATAGGTTCCTCATGGGTATCCACACACACAAATACATATACAGACACAAAAGCATTTACAATCAAGTACTATCAGCATTTGGCGAGTACATGGATGAACTTGGAAGTACACACCCCCAGAAGTACATAGAAGTAGATGTGGAAACTTACATAGACAATCACACACCCTTTAATTTAGCTGTGGCTTTTGTTTCTCTTATTAGCACACATACTGAAAGTGGTTACACCTGTTTTCCACCTTGTAATGGAAATCACTTATGTTCTTTTATAGGCTTCCAAAGGCATTTTCACATATATTATTTTATCTGAAGCTCTTGAGATATCCCTATCCTCCCTTGGAGAAATTATAAACAGAGACAGACAAATGGTTCAAATCACACAACTGGTAACTATACCCTGGATGGAAACTCAGATCCTGTCATCCCCAGTGCCCTTTCAATCCACTCACAAAATGGGGATGGAATAGAAGGAACACAGTGATAAGATTTTGCATTAATTTTAATGCAGAAATGTGGCAAATAATTTAGCTGCAGCAAATAACACGAACATTTTCATTTCTCATAACTGCATTGCAACAGACCGAGACAGTCTCTCCACCCACCCAAGAAGCACTCCAGGCAAGGAGAGTAAGAAGAGAGTCTCTTACCATTAAGAAGGCTGATGTTGAGAAAAAGGAGGATGAAAGCAAGGGCAGATGGCATGCTTTCCTTCATGTTGGCCCCTGTTTCTTGATACAGGCAATGGATCAGAGGCTCCCTGGAAGAGAAAACACCAGGTACCATTTGTTAAATTACAGCCCGTCAGGCACATGCACCACTTTATTCTGGGTGCTTGCAACTGATTCTTTTTCCTTGCTTAATGTGACCGACAAAAACAGCGGGAAGAGAACGTAGGAAAATGTACCATGGGATGGCTTGGTTAAGAGGCACTGATTCACACAGGCTGGCAAAGATTTCACCACAAGAGGTCGTCAGACAACAATGTAGAGCGTTCAAAGGAAGTCAAGGCTGTTGGCTTTTTATTTGTTTTGGTTTTGTTTTCTGCACTCACCAAAGTTGTTCTATTTCTACTTTATTGTTTAGCTGTCTAAGAGCACATCACCCATTTATGTAACATAGGTGTGTGCTCTGCAAGAGAACCATTCAAGGAGGGCTCTGGCTCCAGTATTCTGAGCCAGTTCAACTTATCGATACTGCCAGCCTGAGGGTAGGAGGGTCGGGTGGAGGTTCCTGTCTAAGTTCAGGCAGAGAAGGTTCTGGAAGTCTCCAGGGATATGAAAATGGCTATGAAGCAAACCTCATAATAAATTTTAGTGATCCTCTGTGTGGCTTCTTTCTCCTTTCTGTAAAGCCCCATAACAAGAGACAATGAACTCCAGCAATAATTTAAATCTCTTGTGTTCAGAGTAATAAGTCAATTTTGAACCTGCAGGGCTTGAGAGTTTTGAGAAATTTATTATTAATATTATTATTTTTACTCTTGGAACAGCTTTCAAAGCCTCTCATGTTTCTTCTTTAAAAAAATTATGAACTTTTTTTAAAAAAAGGCTCATTAGTCTTACTAGACTTCAAACATGGCCCAGAAAGCAATAGTTTTGATGAACTACGTGCAAATTTCCAGAAACACATGGTTTTAATCTCCCTTTAAATTTTATTTTTAAATCAAGGGAAGAATATCTAGGAGGCCAAGTGAAGAGTTGCTTGATGAGCCCCTAAAGCTCCAGAATTTGTCCATTCCTCTATCTGTCAAACACATATTACTCAATGGAAAACTTTTTGAAGGTGTGTTACACCCGCCACTACTGCTTGTGGAATCACTCAGAAATAGACATTTTGATGACACTGGAAGCTTGGGGCGTGTCAGTACCAAAAAGCAGTGCCCTTACATTAAAGATTCCAGTTCAGAACTTTGCTGACCCACTAATGGGCCCAGCAAAGTGCTGGAGACCCACTTGCTTTGCCTGCATTCTTTATTCCCTCTAGGTAGCATGTTCTCAATCTAACCTTCTTCTTTTAACCTCCCTGGGGGCCATTTTCTTTAAACCAAGTGTTCAGAGGCTTCTAATGGGTTTTCAATGATGCACTTATAGTCCAGGCGCTGGGCTGAGTCATCACTTGAATTTCATTTTGTCCTTTCCGTGGCCCCAAAAGCAGATGCTGGTTAGCACCCCCCTTTTTAACAGGTACAGACACTGAATGTAGAGAAACAGTTTAATAGGCTGTCAATCACCTGCTAACAGGAGAGAACAATCTGGCAAGTCACAGAGCATCTGAGAAATTGTGATCTGTGGGATATATGTGATAGATAGCAAAACTGTCCCCTCATGTAGGGGAAGAAGATACATGAGGCAAGCACAATTGAGTGGTGGAGAGAAGTATGCCAAGACCTGGGTGAACCAGAGCAGGAGAGCTAGGGCAGGCATTGTTATGTCAGCTGCTGCTCTACTTGTGCTTAAGGGTCTCCAATATTGTTGATCTGTCTAAACTTACTGTGCATCTTCATCCTGGCCTGGAAGTGGGATTCTGTTCCCTGGCTGAAGATATCCCAAATGATATGACAGACTTTGATGAGCCCCCATGGAAGGTCTCACCCTCCTTAGGGAGTGGATGGGGGGCTGGGATGAGGGGGTCAGTGAGGGAAACAGGAGGATGGGAGGGATGGGGAACTGGGATTAATTCATAAAATAAGATTGTTTCTAAAAAAACAAAAGATGCTCTATAATATCCCTTCATCGAGACTTCCTTACTCCTGTGGGAATCACATAAACAACACCTGAGATCACCATGCTATAAATCACCCCTCGTGGGTGAGGTCAGAAAGCTCTGCCAGACAGGGCTCCGCCTGTTTTGCAAATGAAACACTAGGAAAGGAATCAAGGTAATCAGAGGCAGGAGTGGATTTAGTTTATTTGCTTATATTTCCTCTTTTGCTGGTGCAGGAGCTAGGAAACTTCCAATTTAACTCTCCCCTTTTAAAAATGCTATCAGAAACCACTCTCCGCACATACGAAACAACTTTCTCCTGAGATTTCCTGAGACACACGCTGGAATCTGGTCACACCCATGCACTTTCTAATGCCCCAAGCTGCCTGTGCCAAGGAATTAGACATGTTCCTCATGTGTTTCAACAGTGACTTCCCAACTCATTCTTCATCTTATACTCTCTGGCAAGGTAACCATGGTGTGGTAAGCAAGCTTCCAGAGGGAAGCAGAATGGCAACTGTTCACCCTCAGTGAGGCAACACTAAAAGCCAGCCCTGGTCAATAGTATACAGTGTTTTTGTCTTACCATGAAGCACATTTCCTGCTGATCCACAGACCAGTTTTTGTGCTAAGCAGACACTAGCCTGGAGATAGATTTGGTTTTTATCTCTCCGAATCAGTTCTCCATGGCAAGCAGATCGTGATCAAAAGCAGGCAGAACAGTCCTTATCGACCACATCAGTTGGGGCTGGGATGAGGGTCCACAACTTTGCATGGTGTTATAGTGCAGATATTTCAAGATTTGGATTCAAATATCTGGAATCCAGTTAGCAAAAGTCGAGCCTTGCCTACCCAGCCCAATCATCTTAAGATCCACACACCACCAACTCTCTAAGTATGACTGGTTGAAAAGTGAAATGTCTCTTATCTATGAGCAGGTTTTTGGTGGGTTCCTAACTTTCATCTGCTTTGCCCATGACTGCATGATGTGGCTTCTTTACTTCCGAATCCTCATTCCCTCCTATTCCCATGCCCCTTTCCATGTCCTTATTCAGACTGCTACAGTGCTCTGTCCTTCTGTGGCACACATGCCAAGAGAACTCCTTATCCCTCTTCTCCCTAGGGCTGCTTTCTGCATCAACAACGGTCCTGTTTAGGCCTACTCTTTCCAAAAAGCCCCTCTTTATTACTGTCTCCTATTAAGCCAACCTTCTTCCACAGGGGCTAACAGTAAGGTTACAATCTACGGTCCGGCAGCTCATTCGTTTGGGAAACTAGAATGACCCCTCCCTAGATGAAAAACTAGTCAGGGTCCCATGGCCTTCATTAGTGCCCCCACCCACATCATGGAAGGCACACCATAAGAGAGGAGGCAGTGTGATCATCAAGTGTCAGGCAGAACAGAATTGAACCTTCACCAGGTCACTGCCTGATATTAGCTCTTCATTTTTTTTTTTCTGCTTACATTCTTTCTGCATGCTTTGGTCTACCTACCCCTTGACATAATCAATTACAAAAGTCCAAAGCCTCAGCTCTCCCATGGTGTGGGACTTGCTGCTACCCTCGGGTACTAGGAGATTCCTAAGGTTTCTGCTCCATCCTGCTTTTCTGTTACAGTGGTCTCAGTTTCCTTAACCAGAGAAATGGACCAAACAAGCTAGGTAGAGACTGTGAGGATCTTCTTCTTCAGTCTCGCAAGCCCAATCCTTGATGGAAAAGCCAAGTCAAAGCTTACTTTAAGGAGTCAACCTTAAGTATTCTGCAATAAGTTGTCACCAAGTGAATAGATCCATGCCTACCATTGAAGTAGCTACAGAACATAAAAGGTAGCCCAGAAATAGAACTGGTGGTTCCTCTTGATCTCTGGCCACCCCAACAGTACTGATTTCTAACACAAGAATAGTCCTGCCAACTTTATATAGTGGAATCATACAACAAGCATGTTAATGGTGTGTGTCAGTCAGTCTGTCTGTCTGTCTTCTGTCATTCCACATTGCATTCTGGTTGTTGTACATAGTTTTACAAAATTTATTTTCATTTAAATTTCATTGGATGAAATACTATAATTTCTTCATTTATGCTACAGTTGGACGTGTCAGTTATTTCTGGTTTTTGGTAAACTTCAAAAATTGTTTGAGGATTTTTATACATGCCTATAATATATTTTGATCAAATATGTCTCCACCTTTCCCCCCTCCAATTTATCATCTATCACCCCCACACTATTCCTTCAGAACTTCATGTGATTTTTTTTAACACACTAAATGCACTTAGAGCTGCCTGTATGTGCATGTTTGTAGGACAATCTTCAGGAGCACAGTCAGTTTTGTTTGGGGACACTGACTCTCCCTCCCACAGCAGTCAAGACCCTTGTTATAGGGAAGCTGTGCAGACATCACAATGCTCACCCACACTGGTTCTTTACTACAAGTGCTTAGTATGCTGTCTCTCATACCTTCTTCCCATTAGCCTCATTACATTTCTAACATCTTTCTTGCTCCCCCTCAAATGCAAGAAAGCCTTTATGTTTTGCAAACCAATTTCAAATACATTCATCTATTAAAGTATTTATACAATATTAGACCCTTCCTTTGAACTCCTCTGCTCATTGAATCACCTCACTTGCCCTAGGTACTAAATCGTCAGAGGCTGAAATAATTGGGCAAGAATCCCATGTATTCCCTTTGATTCTCAGTCTGAATTTTTTTTTCCAAAACAGAGTGCTAGCATTTAATTTGGAAAACAAAAGGCATAATCTGCTCAGGGTAGGGAGAAGAACAGAAGGGATTAGCTGTTTCACACCACCAAGCTCAAGATTAAGATTGCTGTATGCTGGATTTCGGAGCAATAACTCCAGCTAGGAATAAGTACTCAGCATTTGTTTGTTAAAATGAATCCAGTGCAAAGACACACACATCACAGTGTGGTAATTTATCTGCAATTAGATTTCCCAGGTGATTTGTCTCCCTGTGTAGTGCCAACCTGAGTCAGCTCCCATTTTAACAACTCTCTGGTTGTTTAGTTAAATCATCATAGTTGTGTGAAAGCTATTAG